TATAAAGAAAGATATTTTCTATTTATTAAATTTGAAAATTAAAATTCATAAAGAAGTAGATTTGTTTTTTATTGTTATATCTACAAGCAATTGGTTGGTTTTTTCCTATCAAGATTTGTTTGAATATGATAAATTTTTATATTTGCTGATAAATAATCAAACAACAATATTATACAATTTTAATTTTTCTTGAAACAAACTAATGACAAGTATGATAAAGGAAAAAAAAATAACATTATTAACAAAGTATCAAATACTTTGTTTTCCAACTGTATCATATAAAATCTTTAAAATCGATTATCAACAAAAAAAAAAAATCGATATTTACAGTATGTGTAAGCGATTGTTACGTGACACCGCAAATTATGTAATGAATGGCACACTTTATTAACAAATTGAAAAATGAATTGGATGTCAAAGTCTGGAAGCATCTTGTTTTTATTTACACATATATCTTTTTTTTTTTTTTTTTTGAAAAAATTTTTTTGTGAAAGTACAAATAATCATTCGATTACATTATTTAATCCGAATCCTAAAAGGAGTTCAGATCATCTTGATGGTCGATTCTAATATAAATGCAGGTTCAATTGGCCAAGTTGAATTCACTATCCTTTACACAGGATGTTGACGTTAACGTATTTCTGCGTAAAATTACTCGCGTTCTCATTGTCATTTTTGTCGAGGGTTGATGCGCAATGCGTTACGAATTATGATGTGAATACGGACTACTTTGCCGGAAATAAAGTTAATGGTGATTATCATCATCTTCGTATGGCCTAGTATTGATTATACTTAAATTTCCTTTTCTGGACAGTCACTACTGCGACAAAATTCAATGTGAGCTATTATAAAAATTATAAACTTGTTTCCAACTTCGAGACCAAAGAAAACTTTGCACTATACCTGTGCGGAACCCCCCCTCCGACCAATTTGCCACCCGGTACGAAAAACTTCTCGATCCCACTAAGTAATGACGCCATTCAAGATTCTAGTGAAATTCCTTTTCTTGAAGTGAGTAGAATTTTGTGTTTACGCAATCATATGCAAAAAAACTCAACCATATGTGTGCAACAATAGGCCCTTGGACTTAGATCCTCGATTAAAGCTATAGACGACTCGGTAGCATCTTTTGTGGTTTCCCCATGCTTGCAGTCCTTGGAGAATAATATTTCCGTCCTTAATAGCAACAACAAAACCTCAGAAGCCAAAATTCTTTCTGTCATTAGTGCAGTGTTTGGTAATGAGCCCAATTCATCGGTTTCCAAGTTCGTGAGCACATCCTCCATATATGAGCCTAGCGGGTTGGATCGCGCTGAATGGATAAAATTCTATTCAACTTTCTTCAATCTCGAAAATCAGGCAAACAACATCTACAATCAAATTGACAGCAATTATAATTGTCTGAAGAATGTGGCAGCTTCCAACGCTCAATCCACAAAACCCGTAGTCGCATGGGCTGTATATATTGCTCCTTCTAGTTACAATAACAACACCGCTTCTTGGGCAATTGCAGATGCTTCTTACAAAAAGTCGTTTACCGAAGACGCTGGTGGTACCTACTTTAATCTTTCTACCCTCACCTACTCCACAAGCTCGGACTTCCTGTCTGCCATTGCAAACGTTGATATCTTAATTGACGAGACTTACCTTGCCAACAGCATCTCCGATGTTTATAAGAATTATGGTTTGACAGCAAATAGTAACTATAAATTTGTGAAGAACTCGGCGATCTACAGGGAAGATGGATTGCAAAACCCTAGCGGAGGGTTGGATTGGTTTGAGAGTGCAGTGTTGAAGGGTGATGTCGTATTGGGGGATTTGGTTAACGTGATAAATCCCAATTTACCAACGAAAGGATATCAAAGAGTATGGTTCAGGAATGTCGCCAAAAACGAGAGTTTTATAATTTCGAGCGCAACGAATTGTACAAACACTAGTGCACCATTAACGGTATTGTGGATTTCTTGTAGATTTCTTTACGCGACTTTGATCTTTTTTGCGCATTCTTACTTGTTTCCTTATTTTTACAGGATCAATCCAGCTTTTGTTCAATTCATGTTGCCGCCGGTACCCATTCTCACAGTTATTCACCAGTATTCAACGCGTGGTTGTTTACCGTGATGTTGGCATGGTACCTCCTTGATATTTGACGAAGAGACTGAGAAAATGATTCTGAACCTGCGGAAATAACTTTGAATAATTTAAGAAATCGACAAAAATAACAAGCGAACTTTGCTCTTTACGCCATTCATTATTATTTTATTATACGTGATAATGAATTTTATTCATCGTTTCACAACAAACGTCATTTGCAATCAATCATACTTTTGAGAATAAAATAAAACTTGGTCAAATAATGCACACGTTTTGTCGACTATATTATAAATTACTTGACATATAGCAAAATATTTGATTGAAATTCAATTTTTTCCACAACGTTTACGATATTTTAATAAAAGCATAAAAAGGAGAACTATAATGAATTTGGTTATATTAGAATTTCACACTTGTTCCCCATGATTTGATTAGGCTTAATAAATAAGATAATTTGGCAAATGTGTAACAACACCTATGCATTGTTACTGTTTCAAGATAATCGGAACTAATTTCCGGATACTTTTGTTTTTCCGATTATGTTATTCGGACTGACGGAGGGAGTACAAACAAATTCCAAGTGATATCACGGGGGTTAGACGTAATCATTTTAAAAATGATTTTTATTTTAAAGACTGTTCTCCCATTTTCAAGGGATCTTTTGGTCTTAAGGTGATTAGTCTGGCAACAAATTAAAACTAATGATACACATTATTTTTATTTTTTGAAAGATAGACTATTGTACAATTAGTTTGTTTTTTAGTTTTTGGTTTGTTCGTTTGTTTTGTTTTTTTTTTTTTTTTTTTTTAAAAAAAAAAAATATGGACTACCCAAGCACGTCTCAATACACGCACGCCAAAAAAAAAAAAAAAGGGGGGAGGGGAAGAATCTGACATTCTCAATTATACTATTTTACAAATTATATAATT